TCTCTCTCTCTCTCTCTCTCTCTCTCTCTCTCTCTCTCTCTCTCTCTCTCTCTCTTCCTTTTTTTTTTTCTTTTCTTGCTTTCCTTTTGGCTGATTGGTTTGTGTGTGTGGTGGGGCGGGGGGTATAATCTATATACAGATGCCTATCACAACACCTGTGGTGGACACACTCAGCCTTTCGGTTAAAATGCTACTTTTCATTTATGGATATGAATATGTATATAGTATATGTATATATAATATATAATATATATATATATATATATATATATATATATATATATATATATATATATATATATGTGTGTGTGTGTGTGTGTGTTGTGTGTGTGTGTGTGTGTGTGTGTGTGTGTGTGTGTGTGTGTGTGTGTGTGTGTGTATATATATATGTGTGTGTGTGTGTGTGTGTGTGTGTGTGTGCATATATATATATATATATATATATATATATATATATATATATATATATATATATATATATATATATATATATATATATATATATATACACACACACACACACACACACACACACACACACACACACACACACACACACACACACACACACACACACACACACACACACACACACACACACATATATATATATATATATATATATATATATATATATATATATATATATATATATATATATACTATCATTTACATCATCTGTAGTCTTATGACTACAGATGATGCAAATACTGATAGATGACCCTGAAGATATTTGTAGGTTACTTTTTCCTACCAATAGGTGGCCATAGGTAATAGCTTTTCTTCTATTGATAGAATTCTATGTACATGTTGGTTATTCCTCCCACCGATAGATGCCACTGCAAGTTATCTACTCCCACCGATAGATGTCCTCAAAAGTATGATTTTACCTTTGTTTACATCGATAAATATCCCGTAGGGGTTATTTACTCCTCCCCGATAGATAATGGATAGATGTCCTTTTGGCGTTAATTGCTCCACCTACCGATAGATGTCCTTTTGGCGTTAATTACTTCTCCCACCGATAGATGTCCTCATAAGTATGAGCCATTCCTCCTTTTGATACACATTTATATAAATATTAAGAGTTTCAATTAATTATTCCTACCACCAAAAGATGATTTCTCTCACCGATAGAGATGTTTGTTGGTTACTTTTTCAACCAATAGGTAGCCATAAGTAATAGTTTAAAAGTTTTTCTATCACAGACAGAATTCCGTGTACATGTTGGTTAGTCCTTTCACCGATAGATGTCCCTACATATATCACCTATTAGCTACCTTTTCCACCAATAGGGGGCCATAAGTTGTCGTTGTTTTTTCCACTGACAGACTTCCATGTAAATGTTGGTTATTCCTTCCACAGATAGATGTCCATACAGGAATTACCTTATAGTTACTTCTCCTACCAATAGATGTCCTCATAAGTATGAGCCATTCCTGGAACTAACTGAAATTTATATGTATTTAGAGTTTCAGTTAATCATTCCTCCCACCAATAGATAATTTCTCTCATCAGCGATAGGTGACCTGAAAGATATTCGTTACTTTTTCACCAATAATTGGCCATAGGTAATATATTTTCTTCACTGATAGAATTGTATGTACAGCTAGTTATTCCTTCCACCGATAGATGTCCTTGTAGATGGTACCTGTTTCTCGTACTGATGGATGTCTTTCTTCTTATCACTTTACTCCTTCCAGTTGTCTACAAATTATATTGTTTCCTTCTGCAACAAATACCTTTACAAATGTTGGCTGTTTCTTATAAAGATAAACTTTGCTAAGTTATTCTTCCTCCAAACAGATGGCATTGTACATGCTAGTTATTCTTTCCACCGGTAAATGTCCTTGCATATGTTGGCTATTTATTTCTACCAATAAATAGAACAATAGATATCAATTCTTCCCATGGATAGATCTTCTACACGCTAGTTATTACTCCTACGAAGGATGACACAATAAATATTATTCTTTCCACCGATAGTAATTATAAATGTTAGTTATTCTTTCTCCCAATAGATGGCACAATAGATATCAAATATTTTTCCCTTCAACAGATGTCCTACATGCTATTTTTTCTTTCTACCGATAGATGGCACAACAGATATCAGTTATTCTTCTCACCAACAAATGGCCTTCCATATGCTAGTTATTCTTTCTACATGCTAGTTATTCATCCTGCCAATAGATGGCTTAAGATATATCAGTTATTCTTCCCACCAACAGATGTCCTACATTCTAGTTTTTCTTTTTACCGATATATGGCTCATTAGATATCAATTATCACCGACTGATGTCCTTGTATGTGCTTGTTATTATTTTTACCGATAGATAGCACAGTAGATATCAATTATCCTTCCCATCAACAGATTCCCTTCTACATGCAAGTGACCTTGTATGTGCTTGTTATTATTTTTACCGATAGATAGCACAGTAGATATCAATTATCCTTCCCATCAACAGATGTCTTTCTACATGCAAAACTTTCTTTCTGCCGATAGATGGCCCAAAAAATGTCAGTTATTTTTTTCACCGACAGATTTCCTTTTACGTGTTAGTTATCCCTCCTACCGATAGATGGCCCAATAAATAATTATTCTTCCCACAACAGATGTCCTTCTACATGCTATTTTTTCTTTCTACCGATAGATGGCACAGTACTAATCAAGTATTCTTCCCACCGACATGTCTCCTTCTACATGCTAGTTATTCCTCTTACCGATAGATGAGCAATAGATATCATTATTCCTCTCACTGATAGATGTCCTCGTATAGGTTTGTTTCTTTCTACCGCTAGATGACCCAATAGATATCAATTATTCTTCCCACCGACATGTCTCCTTCTACATGCTAGTTGTTCCTCTTACCGATAGATGGCACAATAGACGTCATTATTATTACCACCAACAGATGTCCTTCTATTTGTTAGTTATTCCTCTTACCGATAGATGGCACAGTAGATGTCATTATTTCTCCCACCGATATATGTCCTTGTATATGCTTGTTATTATTTCTACCGCTAGATGGCTCAATAGATATCAACTATTCTTCCCACCGATAGATGTCCTTCTATTTGATAATTAGTCCTCTTACCGATAGATGGCACAATAGACGTCATTATTTTTCCCACCGATAGATGTCGTTGTATACGCTTGTTCTTTCTACCGCTAGATGGCCCAATAGATATCAATTATTATTCCCACCGACAGATGTCCTATTTGCTAGTTAATCCTCTTACTGATAGATGGCACAATAGATGTCATTATTTTTCCCATCGATAGATGTCGTTATATATGCTTGTTATTCTTTCTACCGCTAGATGGCTCTATAGGTATCAACTATTCTTCCCACCGATAGATGTCCTTCTATTTGATAGTTAGTCCTCTTACCGATAGATGGCACAATAGACGTCATTATTTTTCCCACCTATAGATGTCGTTGTATATGCTTGTTATTCTTTCTACCGCTAGATGGCTCTATAGGTATCAACTATTCTTCCCACCGATAGATGTCCTTCTAATTGATAGTTAGTCCTCTTACCGATAGATGGCACAATAGACGTCATTATTTTTCCCACCGATAGATGTCCTTCTATTTGATAGTTAGTCCTCTTACCGATAGATGGCACAATAGACGTCATTATTTTTCCCACCTATAGATGTCGTTGTATATTTGTTATTCTTTCTACCGCTAGATGGCTCTATAGGTATCAACTATTCTTCCCACCGATAGATGTCCTTCTATTTGATAGTTAGTCCTCTTACCGATAGATGGCACAATAGACGTCATTATTTTTCCCACCGATAGATGTCGTTGTATGTTTGTTATTCTTTCTACCGCTAGATGGCTCTATAGGTATCAACTATTCTTCCCACCGATAGATGTCCTTCTATTTGTTAGTTATTCTCTTACCGATAGATGGCACAATAGACGTCATTATTTTTCCCACCGATAGATGTCGTTGTATATGCTTGTTATTCTTTCTACCGCTAGATGGTTCTATTTCCCACCGATAGATCCTTCTATTTGTTAGTACCGATAGATGCACAATAGACTTAATAGAGTATATGGGCTAGATGGCCCAATAGATAGCAACTATTATTCCCACCGATAGATGTCCTTCTATTTGCTAGTTAATCCTCTTACCGATAGATGGCACAATAGACGTCATTATTTTTCCCACCGATAGATGTCACTGTATATGCTTGTTATTCTTTCTACCGCTAGATGGCCCAATAGATATCAAATATTCTTCCCACCGATAGATGTCCTTCTATTTGTTAGTCCGATAGATGGCACAATAGACGTCATTATTTTTTTCCCACCGATAAATGTCGTATATGCTTGTTAATCTTTCTACCGCTAGATGGCCCAATAAATATTAGTTATTCTTCCGTCTACCGACAGAGGGCCTAATGAAATATCAATCATTCTTCCCATTGACAGATATCCTTCTAATACTAGTTATTCATTTTATCGATAGATGGCACAATAGACATCATTATTCCTCCCACTGATAGTTGTCCTTGTATAAGCTTGTTATTCTTTTTACCACTAGATGGTCCAATATATATCAATCAGTGACAGATGTTCTTCTACATGCTAGTTATTCCTCATACCGATAGATGGGCCAATAGATATCCTTATTCCTCCCACCGATAGATGTCCTTGTATATGCTTGTCATTCTTTCTACCGATAGATGACATGGTATCATGGTGTCCTTCTACATGCTAGTTATTCCTCCTACTGACAGATGGCACAATAAGTATTTTTCTTCTCAGCGAAAGATGTGCTCGTATATGCTAGTTATTCCTATTACCGATAGATGACACAAAGTATATCAGTTATTTCCGTTAGATATTCTTTCTGCCCAATAGATATCAATTATTCTTCCCAATGACATTTATCCATGTATATGTACATGTTAGTTATTCATTCTACCGATAGATGGCACAATATATATATTCTCCTCACTGACAGATGTTCTTGTACATGCTGATCATTCCTCCCACCAACAGATACCCTGTGTATGCTAGTTATTTCTCTCACTAATAGATGGCTAAAGAGATATCAGTTATTTCCCCCAACAACAAATGTCCGTTTAAATGCTAGTTATTCCTCCCACCGATAGAGGGCCCAATAGATTTTTTTTTATTATTTCCACCCGCAGATGACCAATTAACATCTTAGTTATTCCTTCCACCGATAGATGGCCCAATAGATATCAGTTAGACTTCTCACTGATACATCCATGCCAGTTATTCTTCTGACCGATAAATTTCCTTGTACATGTTAATTATTCCCTTCTTGATATTTCCCTTAATGTTAATTCCTCCCAAACGATAGATCCCCCCCCCCCCTCGCAAATAACGTCTCAAGATAAATTTCATTTCTCTTCCTGCCAATAGATGACCCTGTAGACGTTATTTTATTTTTCCTTTCTAATGGGTGCTTTGTGCTTTGTTTACACAGGTCAGATGAGTTAGAGCGAGGGTGTTTGTTTATGCATATCATACTTCCAAAATGTCGAACCCTTGCATTCTGTGCAAGACTTGCAAAGAAACGAATCCTGATGTCGTTTTCCATCGCTTTCCGAGGACCAAAACGAGGTGAAGTATGGCAGTGACTTTAAAATATTGGCCGATTCTATAAGTAAGATGAGACCTGTCAAAGCTTGAAGTTATTTTATTATA